AGGGTCATTCGACCCCCAAAGGGGTCGCAACCCACAGTTTGAGAACCGCTGGTCTATATGGAGAGAACTTTCTCCCAGAGTCAGAAGGATGCCCTCACCTTCCTAAGCAATGGGCACACTTCCCATTGCCTTCACCATAAAGTCCAAATTCCCTCCCACCTATGAGTACACTTTCACCTTCCACCACCTCCTCCCCACCCCCATACTAAGTTCATAAATACCACTCATGTTCATGATGCTACCTCCCCTTGGAATGCCTTTCCCCTCCTGCTAAACATCCTTCAAGTTTCCCTGTGTGGAGCTTTTCCTGGTAGCCATTGCTATTACCCTGTACTATCACAGGCTTCATGCATAGCTCTACCACACTTATTCTAACATATGACAATTATATGACTGATTTCCCCCATTTTACTATTAATGCTTTGCATAAAAGAGTTATGTTTTATGTACTATCTATCCATAGTGCCTAGTATGGTGCCTCGGGGAGATATGGAGCAAAAAGTTGTTGACTGTTAGCTATATGCCTAAAGTTGAGAATATTTCACTGTTGCTCAATGGAGTGAGAGGAACTGGAACATTTTAATGGTTGTTATTCTGTCAGCTCTCTGACCACCTTTAGTGAGCCAGTGGGAGAGGCAATTTTTAATTTGTGAAATGGAAATTTATTTCAATTAGCTATGGCTTGTTTAAGATATAACACTTGAAAATATTTGTACTAAGTCCAAAATAGACACGCCAATACACACATACTCAACCTTTTCACTTCCAATTTTCAATTTTTAAAAATATGGATTGGATTTTCGGGATATAAAAGAAATAACTGGCATTACTAGGAAATTCCCCAGCTTGGACTTTTTAACTTAGCATAGGTACAGACAGCACTTCTGGGACCATTTAATGTATATTTAATATTCACTTTTATGGTAGCCCTACATTCAATCCCATCTTCTGGTTGCCAGCCAAAGGGCTGGTAGGTCAGCACCATGGACAGAGAAAAAAAGGCAAAATATTGCCTTTTTTATTTTGCTAGATTTTTTCCTAATGTTTAATGTTTTCAATTGCAGTTCACATTTGAGATTATTTTGTATTAATTTCAGGTGTACAGCATAGTGGTTAGACAATCACATACATTACAAAGTGATCCCCCTAATATTTCAAGTACCCACCTGGCACCTAGAGTGTATGATTCTAAGTGAAATGTCAGGCAGAGAAAGACAAATAATATATGATTTCACTTACATGTGGAATCAAAAGGTCACACTTAAGGCTGCTTATAAAATGACAGCTGTGATAGCAGATATATTACCAAGGAAAGACTGGTTTGAATGTTCCTCTGGGACCATGGGAAGAGAGTACCTCTGGGTTTGGGTCAGGTCAGAGGATGGGGTCTTAAGAAAATAACCACTCCTCCAAGATGCCTCCAAGTAGCATGATCGGCCTATATTCATCGGCCTTCATTTATTGGCCTATATTGGTTCACCTTTTTAAAAAATATATATTTTATTGATTTTTTACAGAGAGGAAGGGAGAGGGATAGAGAGTTAGAAACATCGATGAGAGAGAAACATCAATCAGCTGCCTCCTGCACACCCCCTACTGAGGATATGCCCACAACCAAGGTACATGCCCTTGACCAGAATCAAACCTGGGACCCTTTAGTCCCTAGGCCGAAGCTCTATCCACTGAGCCAAACCGGTCAGGGCTTGGTTCACCTTTTTCGACCATCTGCTTTTCTGTTCCCAAGGCACCAACATTTTCATGCTGAAGTAACTGTAAACGTCTACCTAGAAAATGTGGAGAAAATTTGTTCTTTTTACCTGCCTACCACCTATGATCCTTTTTGCCTTTGCAAACTACTTTTCAAACAAATAAGCTGTTTAAAAAATTCAGAGGAACTTTTTATGCTTTTAAGAGGGTTTATGTTGAAGTTTTATTTTAAATGGCAGTTCCTGTCTTTTAGCAATAGATTCTGATAGTTACAAATACAGTAATATGATGTCTGGGACTTGTTTCAAAATAATCCAGGATCAGGGGAGTAAGTAGACATAGAGAGAAGACAAGGTTGGCCATGAGTTGCTAATTGTTAAAGCTGGAGGATAAGAACGTGAAAATTCTACTTTATGTTTGAAATTTTCCATTAAAATATGCGTCTGTGTGTGTGCACGTGTGCTCTGAGAGGCCACACACACACACACACACAGAGACACACACACAGACACACACACACACACTCACACACACACTCACACACACACACACTCACACACACACACACACTCACACACACACTCTCACACACACAGACACACAGACACACACAGACACACACACAGACACACACTCACACACACACTCACACACACACACACTCACTCACACACACAGATTCCTGGCGCCCTTATGACCCTGCACCTAGGAGAGAATGAAGAGCAGCCTAGAGGTGAGGCTACAACTGTCCTGTGAGATCTGAGGGTGTGTCTTGCTCAAGTCCACGTGACGAACAGGAAGTGCAGATGTCTAGGCGTGATCACTTTCTCTGGAGCAAGATGTCCTAGGAGAGCAGTTTCTAGGAAACAAAACCTTTCCTGTACCTCCCTGACAAAAAGAAGCCGAGGGTAGCCTGGAGTGGCAGGGCTGAGGCTGAGTGTAAGGAGAGGGTGCCTCGTTTGTGATGATGGATCCACGGTCAATACCTAAAGTTCCAGGTTAAAAAAAAAAAAAATTATATAAAATGGGCTAGATAAGCAGAGGGAACCAAGATGTGATGCCAAGCATATCAGGATGGAGAGGAGCTGAAATATGAAGAGAGTGGAGAAGTGCAAAAGGAAGGCACGTAAATACTTCGGGGTGGGGAGACGGTTAGGATCTTTTCATGCAGCAGCCGTGTCAGAAGCAAAGAAGGAGCTGTCGGAAGCTTGTGGATAAAATTTAAAAATGAAAGTAAAAGTTCTTCAAAACCTGTGAAACTGCACACACAGGAAGAACTGTTCAGACGCTATGGACAGAAGATAAGGTTTGGGGGTTGAATGCCAACTATGTGTGAGGCACTGCTCTGAGCAGCTGGAATATATGGTGAAAAGGAAAAGAAACCGGCAACATTGAGCAACGTTCTAGTGGAAGGGATAAATGTACTTGCCGATTACTTAAAAATTCAATAAATTTGCCTGGCTGTTTCATTTACACAGAAAGTGTGGCCTCCAGTTTGCCCCAGTCCCCACCATTCCCTCTTGTTTTACCCTTTACCTACTTCACTCAATTTGTTATCTGCCTGAGCCCCCGGGCTTTTCAGTTTGTGACCCCTGGTCTCCAATGTCCCTGGGCTGCTTGGACACTTGCTTTACTTAAAAACACTGAATGGCCCAAGGACTACCTATTCTTGGCTTAATCTGAAGTAACCTTGGGCCAGGACCTATCACCTTGCTGAGATCTCCATGTCCTCACCCCTAGAGTGAAGGCATCCCACCTGCTCTACTGGATTTCTGTGCGACTAGAATTGGCACAATCAGCTCTCCCTCCTGCTTTGGCTCCCCTCCCTGGCATTACTCCTTCAAAGGACGCCTCCCAGAGCTCCTGACCAGGCCAACCCTCTAAAGTGCCAGGTTCTCAGGATCACAGTCACAGTTGCACGCGTAGGTTACTTTGCTGGCTATTTGACTAATGCCGGCCTCTCCCACCAGCCTGGAAGCTCAGCAAGGCAGGGATCCTGTTTGTACTCACAACCTGTCACCTTGCCTGGCATAAAACAGGTGCTCAGCACACCTTATTTTAAAGGGGAAAAAGAGCCCTTGCTGGTTTGGCTCAGTGGATAGAGTGACGGCCTGCGGACTGAAAGGTCCTGGGTTCCATCCCAGTCAAGGGCATGTACCTTGGTTGCGGGCTTGATCCCCAGTAGGGGGCGTGTAGGAGGCAGCTGAACAATGATTCTCTCTCATCACAGATGTTTCTATCTCCCTCTCCCTTCCTCTCTGACATCAATGAAAGTATTTTTAAAAGGGGGGGAGGGAATGAAAGACAAGAAAGCTGGGTAAGACCACCCTGGCCGACATGAGGTGCACCTTAGCCTCTCTCCGACCCTCCCTCCCGGAATGTCTATTGGATAGAGACAGCCCAGCCCCTGGGCTGCGAGAATGTGCACATACAGTTCAGACTAAGACTTTTCACTCTGACTTACACGTCTGAAACTAATACAATAGTGAACATCAACTCCAATCGGAAAAAAACAAAAATATTTAAAGTCACTGCGCTTTGTTTTCCAATAGGCTCTCTACCTCCGGAACAGGGAATTTTTGCTTTGCCCACTGATCTAGGCCTGACATGTGGTCAACAAGAGAGGGTGGAGTGGGTGGGCTCAGGATGGTCTGGGGCACAGGATGGTTGGGGGTCCCACGGAAGCGGGGAGACGCTGGCAGCCCATCTGGCGCCACCGCCGGGAGGGGAGTGGGACCAGGTCCGGAGATCAGGACATGGGCCCCTCCGATCACGTCAAACCACACGGTCAAACCACACCGACATGCTCAGAGCCGGGCCAGAAGCCCCGGCCAAGGGGGGCCAGGTGGCATGCTGCTCTGCGGGCGCTGCTGCCCCTCGCAGCTGGTGCTGCAGGGCAAGGCCGAGGTCGCCGCCAGCACGTGGCCGAGGCGGGAGGAACAGCACCTCCGCTCGCCCCTCCGCCGGCCGGTCCGCGCAGAAAGCGCTCCGCAGCGTCTCCCCAGGGCAGCACCGCCACCTCGGTCTCATCCCCGGGCCTCGGGCCTCCCCGATCCGGGGTGAGGGAGGACCCCCGCCGCCATCCCCGCACGTCCCCCGACCCCAGCATCCCTGCGCTGGAAGCGCCTCGGCGTCGCTCGCGCTCCTGAAGCCCCGCGGCGGCCAGTCCCCGCGCCGCGCGCTCTCGCGAGACCGCCGGCAGCCGCTCCCGCCTCGGCCCCTCGCCGGCGGGAGGGCGCACCCGGGTCCCGCGGCCGAGGTCGCGGGCGGCGCATGCGTGACCGCGGTTCCCAGAGCTCCCCGCGCCGTCTGCGGGCGGAGCGGCCGGCCGCGCGCGGGGAGCCGGCAGCCGCCCCCTGAAAAGCTGGCTCGGTCCCCGCGGCCGCCCTCCCCTCGGGGCGGAACCGCCTCGAGGCCTGTCCTCGGCGCGCGGAGGTCCCGTGAGGACGGCCGGGCCGCCTTGGGCCCGGGACTCCGCCGGCCGCACCGACCGCCGCTGCGGCCTGGACGCGCCGCCCGGTCCGAGCCTCGAACCCGGGCCGGCGGGGTCTGCACCTCCGGCCCCTCCCGCCGGGGGCCTCGCCGCCCGGGAGCCCGGCCCTTAGAACCCGCACAGCACCCCCGGCCTGGCTGTGCGGCCCCTCGGACCCTCGGTCTTCGCCTCGCCGAGTCCTAGGCGGCGCTGAAAATGCGCCCCGGGCAGCCGCGCCGTGGGAGCGCGCCTTGCTGGGGGAGGAGGCGGGGTGCGGGGGCCCCGGGGGTGCGCCTTTACCGTCCCGAGGGTCGCGGGTGGATCTGACCCATCCGCCTGGGGGGCCTGTTTCCGCCGACGCCGCCTGCCCGCGCTCCCCTGAGGCAGGTGCCCGCGGAGGGCCGGCTGGTGTGTCCGCTTTGCGCTGGATGTGAGGCTGACCCGGGTGGAGCATGGACCCTTCGCTGCAAGTCGAGGGGTGCCTGGTGGTGAAGGCGGAGCAGGACCCTGGGTGGGCGCCGGGCGGAGTGGGGAGCTCCGGGTCCGAGACCTTCCGCAGACGCTTCAGACGGTTCTGCTACGAGGAAGTGCGCGGGCCCCGCGAGGCCTTCGGTCAACTCTGGGAGCTGGGCTGCCGGTGGCTGAAGCCGGAAACGCGCTCCAAGGAGCAGATCCTGGAGCTGCTGGTCGTTGAGCAGTTTCTCAGCGTTTTGCCGGCAAAGATCCGGGCGCGGGCTCAGCAGCAGTGTCCGCAGAGCGGAGAGGAGGCGGTGGCCCTGGTCATCCACTTGGAGGAAGAGGCTGGGAGACGGAGAGCGCAGGTGGGAGCATGTTTTCCAAAGGTTCGTGATTAGAAAGAGAGGGGTGGGGGGTGAGGCAGGTGTGTGTGGCAGAAAGCACCATTATGGAAGGACTAGAGGCCTGGTGCACGAATTCGTGCAGGGGTGGAGTCCCTCTGGGTGGCCTGCAGGCATTGGGCCAACTCTGCAGTCCAATGCTGTCTGCAGCTCCTACCTGCTGCTCCCACTCATCCCGCCTCAGCAGCACTCGCCAGTCATGAGCACCCTCCCAAGGGGAGTGGCCTGTGGGACCGGGATGAAACCAGCTCTCTGACATCCTCCAAGGGGTCCCAGATTGGGAGAGGTCACAGGCCAGGGTGAGGGACCTCACCGGTGCACCATGGGGCTGTGGTGGGACTGGGTAGGGCTCCAGGGCATGTCCAGGACCATCTGCTGAGTCTTGATCAGGGCCCCAGCAGCAAGCTAACCTACCAGTTAGAGCATCTGCCCCCTGGTGGTCAGTGCACATCATAGTGAGCAGTTGAGCTCCCTTAGCATGTCATTAGCATATTATGCTTTGATTGGTTGGTCAGTTGTTCTGCCGTTCAGTCTGCATACTATCCTTTTATTATACAGGACTAGAGGCCCGGTGCGCCAAAATTTGTGCACTCATGGGGGGGGTGGGGGGGCGTCCCTCAGCCTGGCCTGTGCCCTCTCACAGTCTGGGACTCCTCGGAAGATGTCCACCTGCTGGCTTAGGCCTGCTCCCCAGGGGATTGGGCCTAAGCTGGCAATCAGACATCCTTCTGGCAGCCCTCGGGGGATGTCCACTTGCCAGTGGGGAGCAGACCTAAGCTGCAGTCGGACAGCCTTAGCACTGCTGAGGAGGCAGGAGAGGCTCCCACCACCACCGCTGTACTGGCAGCCATCAGCCTGGCTTGTGGCTGAGCAGAGCTCCCCCATGTGGGAGCACACTGACCACCAGAGGGCAGCTCCTGCATTGAGCGTCTGCCCTCTGGTGGTCAGTGTGTGTCATAGTGACTGTCATTCCCAGTCTTTCTGCTGTTAGGGTCAGTTTGCATATTACCCTTTTACTATATATAATAGAGGCCTGGTGCATGGGTGGGGGCCAGCTGGTTTGCCCTGAAGGGTGTCCCGGATCAGGGTGGGGGTCCCACTGGGGTGCCTGGCCAGCCTGGGTGAGGGGCTGATGGCTGTTTGCAGCTGGTCACACCCCCTTCAGGGTGGGGGTCCCCACTGGGGTGCCTGGCCAGTCTGGGTGAGGGGCTGAGGGCCGTTTACAGGCTGGCCGGCGACTGAAGCTCCCAGCCTCTCCTTTTTTTCTTTTTCTTTTTTTTAAAGTATTTTTTTTAAATTCTGGGATTTATTTACCTTCTATAATTGAAACTTGGTTGCTGTCACTGGAGCTGAGGGCTGGTTCCTGCTTGCTGTAGCTCTGAGGCCACGGCCTGCTGAAAGCAGGTATCTGGGGTTTGTTTAGCTTCTATAATTGAAACTTTGTTGCTTTCGGAGCTCAGAGCTGGGCTGCGGCAGCGGGGGAACCTTGGCTTCCTCCATCACTAGAGCAAGCAAGCCTCCTGCTCACTTCAGCTGCGTGGCTGCCGGCCGCCATCTTTGTTGGTGGTTAATTTGCATATCTCGCTGATTAGCCAATGGGAAGCATAGCGAAGGTACGGTCAATTACCCTTTTTGTCTTTTATTAGATAGGATATAGTGGTACTAATGAAGGACCTTCAAAGTGAAGCCACTTGAATAGCAAGTAGAATAGAAAGCTTTGCTTGAAATAGGATCTTGCAAATGAAACTAAACCATATTCACCTAAATATTTTGTTTCAAGTCTTTGGCAGTAATGTTTCCCAAAAGAAAATTCTGTGCGAGAATTTATGCTTCACAGGGCTTAACTTTTTCAGCTTGATCCTGAAGAGGACTATTGGGGGCGGGGGGCGGTAAGGACTTAAGCAGTGATCCCTGAGCCCTTTCTAATCCTTCCCTGTGCCAGTCCCTGTCTTCTTAGGCCGCCTTAACGCCATCACCCCGTCACTCTTCTCCAGTCTACCTGCCAGGTCTGCATTTGTCGGTGGCTTTGCATGATCCTCTGGTTGTTTTTCAGCAGCCCTTCCATTAACCTCATGAAATCCTGCAAGATTTGCAGTTTCGCCTTGCACGGGATTTGCATTTCTGTAAAGGTCTGACTGCCAGCGTGTTTCTGTGTCCATCAAGGGTAGACATGAGATATGGAGATTAAGCTTACTAGTATGTTTTCATTTCACCAGTGAATTTGTGTTCTGATAACTCTCTCTGTGAGCCTAGTAGATGTGAGGACTCAAATGATCTCTATTTTAATAACAGGAAGGCGTGTACTTCACACCTGACAGATCTCCCCTCTATGTATTACTAAAGAGCACTCTCCATTCCCTTATGTCCAGACTTCTGGACAGTTCTATTAACCCGCTGACCTTAGAGCCTACATTGGGAATGGACCGCAGTGCCATTCCTTCTCATGTCGCCCAGCCTTCTTTGCTGTCTTTTTCTCCCTTTGTTTACTATGGCTTTGGCTTCATTTCCCAGGTTTGCAGCCCTGTGCAGTCAGAGAAACAGGCCCCACGTGGAGCAGCGTGGGATGCGGCAGACTTGCCGCCAGAGACCCAGCCCAGAGTGGTGTCTCGGGAAGAAGCTGGAAGCCTGCGCTCAGGACACCGGGAGCAGCTGACCCCAAAGAGAGAGCAGCGGCCCTTACCCAAGAATGGTAAGAGCTCAGAGACGTCGAGGGCAGACCATGGCAGATTTGTTTTGTAGTCTTAACCTGTGACTTGCTCAGAGTACTGTCCTCTCAATACATATTTGAGAATAAATTGAATATTGGGGAGAAAGACTTCAATAGTTGGGAATATGTGCAGCATAAGTAAAAGGGATCTCAAAGATTGAACCTAGGAAAACTTAGACTGCCCAAGCTGACCTTTAAGTCTTACAGTGTTACTTAAGGATCTCCATTCTGTAATCAGCCTGTGGTTTTTAGTCCTGCCATGTGTATATGTGGATGTGTTCTTGGCTGACTACAAGGAACTTGAAAACTGTTTGGAAAGGGAAATGAGACATTTATTTTCAAAAATTGACTTATAAGTTAGGCACTATGTAATTGGCATATGAGAAGGATAAACATAAGACTTCATAGAGAAGGGGCCACTGATGTTCGTAGCTGCCCCAGACATTCACAAATCAAGTCAGACACGAGGAAATGAGCACCCTGTCCTTTGCAGTCCACAGTGATCTCTCCATCCCTAGCAATGTGGTGTCAGGCTGAAAGAGAAGAACGGAAAGATCACTGAACCTCCTGTAAAAAGATAGGCTTACATCCTCTCTGCCCCTCCCTCTCTGATCTTGGGCAAGTCATATTAACAGGAGATTAATACATAGAAGTGACAGACAACCTGGGTTCAGAACCCAACTCTGCCATTCTTTATCTGTGGCCTTTGTCAGGTAACTTCTCAAACTTCCGTTCTGTCATTTATAAAAGGAAAATAATAAGGTTGGTGTAGATTAAATGAGGCAGTGTAAGACAGCCAATACATACTAGTGCTCAGTTAATGTTAGCTTCCTTTCTCCCATAATGGCATGATTATTGTTAAACTTTAAATCTGACTTACACAACTCCTCACCAAAAGACAAGATCCAGTACTGTATACTGTACTTCCTTATCCCTCCCAAAATTCATATTATGATAGAATGCATTGCAAATGTTAATGGTTTCTGAAGTTTCTAGTATGTGTGTATGTGTGTGTTCCCTTATCATGTGGATTAAATACTCCCAGTTACTTTAGCTGATAAGCTTAGTACAGTAAATTCATGGTGTTTCTGGATTTTGACATCCCAGAATGATAAGGAATTCCTAAAGTGGAAAGTTTGGTCTGTTGAAGTACTTAGGAGTGTGCAGGATAGAAAATCTGAGGGATAAATATCTCAGGTGAATTCTAAAAGAAGACCTGTGATTTCAGCCATGTGTGTGTCTAAGGGAATAATAAGTTTCCAAGGAAGTAATTTGATTTGCTTCTATAGAAAAGTAGTGTAACAAGCTTTTGAATTCTTGGTCACAGTAATATTTATTCTGGAAGTTTTCCCTGGATAGTCAGTTCATAAGTAGAAGTAAGACTACAGACTTGCTGATTATAAGTTTGTCTATCTTCATTCCATCTTTCAAGGGGTGTATTGCCTGTAGTGTCCAGGACCATGTAACTTCTTTAGCTACTGATGGGGATTAACTGATACTAGAGGTTGCAAACAGGTCATGCACATGCCAAGTCAGACTTGTTTTGTTTCACCTACAAAAGTGTTTTTGGTTTGGGGGTTTTGTTTGGTTGGTTGGTTTTAGTTCTCAAGATTAAGACTTTTGATATTTTGCACAAAAGTCCAGATTTCTGACTTCTCTTGAAAAAAATTAGAAGCTTGGCTATACCAGGTCCATAGTCTCACAAAGAAGCATCATCTGGGACTGAGCTTTGCTGTACCCTTTCAATGGGACATGTGCTCTCTCATTCCCCACACACCTTGCCTGGCCCCTTTCCTGATGGGCTGTATCGGCTTACTCCCTAAAAGCATTGGCATTTGTGAGTCCTGCTTTAAGTTACCATGGTTTCAGGCATAGTTCTGAATTCATGGAGAAAATGATCGGTTTGTATTTGTTGCTTTTTTGTAACGTGCTCATTTCTTAAGAGGAGAAGCAGCATGAATTAAAGGGCCAGAGCCTGCACACTAATTGATTCTTTCTGTTACAGCTCGCCCTTCTCCATGGGTTCCCATCCCTGATGAAGAATGGAACACCACAGATCAGGAAGTAACAACCACGAAACTTCCTGTTGGTTCTCAGGTAAATTGTATTGTCCTCCCTGGACTTCCTCTCTAGGGTATTCAGTCACAATGATTCCTGGGCCTTCACTGTCCTCAAATTTTTATACTCCAACCAAGAGACCTTTCCCCCCTTGTTCCTTTTTCAGAAAAGATTGGACATTTTTCTGAGTAATGGGGGACACATTGGTGGATCATCTGTCTTATGATTCTTTATAGTATCTTCTGTTTCATTTGGCCTCAATGTACACTTGGTTCCTTGATTTTAATTCTTCTTTAAGGCCCTTCTGTGCTTTATTCAATATTGTTCATCCTTCAAAGACCCACATGGTTATCTTGGTAGTCATTGCCGTTAGTGTTGTTACAGGGACCAGTGAAAGATGTCCACTTGACGAGAGGTTTTTCCTACAAAAAGAGTGTGCATCAGATTCCGGCTCACGGAGACCTCTACCAGGATATTAGGGAGGAGAGTGTTGGGAACATGGTCTCCTTGGGTAAGGATTCTTTCCCTTTTTGGATAAAAGATTTGGGGATTTATAACATATGCATTCTACTGATGATAAAATAGTTATAAATGTTAACACTTTAAAGATTTTCATGGGTTGTCAAATCATTTTTGCAATCTAGCTTACTAGACCTAGTACCCACGTATCCATCTTCTCTTATCTCACTCATTCCTTTGTTCCAGTTTAAAATTTATATGCTTATAATTTAGTGACTAAAACATTGGAGAGGTGTCATATTTATATTATCTCAATGTAAACTTACACACATCTTCTAAAGACTCCATTCACGAGGTCTCTTAGGGATTTGTTTTTGTTTTACTATAGTAAACACAACAATTTTCACAGGGCCTGACACATGGGTGGGTGCACAGCAAATATTTGTTATGTGGATGGAAATCTTATAAATAGAAAAAAAGTAATTTTAATACAATAACCTCAATAGTGTGTTGTGAATTATTTAAATAGCATAAATTTTCAGGCACATATCACCACTGAAGTGTCACTTTACAAGCAAACTCTGCTTTAGCAGTAGGACTTCATTCATATGCAAACTACAAGTCAAAGACTACATATAACTAAAATTATACGCCTAGACCCGCCCCGCCCAAGCCCTGCACAGAGGCATTTGCCGGATAGCCTCAGGCAAAGGCTAGATTAGCACCTCCCTAGAGGACAGAAGTTCTCTCACTGCAGACACAGCTGATTCTCACAGCCACTTGGCCTGGAGGTCAAACCCTCCCTGGTATTAGCTACAACAATCAAGGCTTAACTACAAGACTGCGCACAAAGACTACTAGGGGGTGCACCAAGGAAGCATAACAAAATGCGGAGACAAAGAAACAGGACAAAATTGTCAATGGAAGATATAGAGTTCAGAACCACACTTTTAAGGTCTCTCAAGAACTGTTTAGAAGCCGCCGATAAACTTAATGAGATCTACAAGAAAACTAATGAGACCCTCGATGTTATATTGGGGAACCAACTAGAAATTAAGCATACACGGACTGAAATAACAAATATTATACAGACTTCCGACAGCAGACCAGAGGAGCGCAAGAATCAAGTCAATGATTTGAAATGCGAGGAAGCAAAAAACACCCAACCGGAGGGGCAGAATGAAAAAAGAATCCAAAAATGCGAGGATAGTGTAAAGAGCCTCTGGGACAGCTTCAAGCGTACCAACATCAGAATTATAGGGGTGCCAGAAGATGAGAGAGAGCAAGATATTGAAAACCTATTTGAAGAAATAATGACAGAAAACTTCCCCCACCTGGTGAAAGAAATGGACTTACAGGTCCAAGAAGCGCGGAGAACCCCAAACAAAAGGAGAATCTTAAAAACAGCAAGAGAAAGAAACTCAGTTACCTACAAGGGAATACCCATATGACTGTCAGCTGATTTCTCAACAGAAACTTTGCAGGCCAGAAGGGAGTGGCAAGAAATATTCAAAGTGATGAATACCAAGAACATACAACCAAGATTACTTTATCCAGCAAAGCTGTCATTCAGAATTGAAGGTCAGATAAAGAGCTTCACAGATAAGGAAAAGCTAAAGGAGTTCATCACCACCAAACCAGGATTATATGAAATGCTGAAAGGTATCCTTTAAGAAGAGGAAGAGGAAGAAAAAGGTAAAGATACAAATTATGAACAACAAATATGCATCTATCAACAAGTGAATCTAAGAATCAAGTGAATAAATAATCTGATGAACAGAATGAACTGGTGATTATAATAGAATCAGGGACATAGAAAGGGAATGGACTGACTATTCTTGGGGGGGAAAGGGGTGTGGGAGATGCGGGAAGAGACTGGACAAAAATCGTGCACCTATGGATGAGGACAGTGGGTGGGGAGTGAGGGCGGAGGGTGGGGCTGGAACTGGGAGGAGGGGAGTTATGGGGGGGAGGGAAAGAGGAACAAATGTAATAATCTGAACAATAAAGATTTAATTAAAAAATAAATAAAATAAAAATTAAAACTGCAAAAAAAAAATAAATAAAATAAAATAAAATTATACACCTAAAACATGCACTAATATACACTAGAGATGCTTTGTGCTATCTCATATGGTAGCCACTAGTCACATATGGCTATTTAAATTTATAAAATTAGATAAAGTTAAAAATTCAGTTCCTCAGTGGCAGTGGCCACATTTAAGGAATTCGGTAGCTGTATTGGACAACACAGTTATAGAACATTTCTGTCATAACAAAGTTCCATTGGACAACGCTACATAAAAGTATACATAAAACGCAACACTGAAGTATAGAGATTATAAAATGGAGCATGTCAAACTGAATGAATAAGATAAACGAACAGTTGTTTATATAGAAAGCAATTTTTTTTAAAGACCAACTGATGACACATCAGTAACAAAGCACTCTTCCCAAAACAGTGGGCATCCCAGCCCTCTACCTAGTTGTGTACATGATGGATGTTTCCTAATGTTGTCTTGGATCACACAGCATCCAGACCTAGTAAATGTTCAATTAGTCCTTTGTAAACTCTGCAGGAGTGGGATAAGGACCATACTTTAGTACGGATTTAGCCCAGCACCTTCACATATAATTATAGAGTATAAAGACCCAGGCCCAGAGACCCCGGCCCTAATTTTTTATCATAGATTATAAACTAATGGCTCATTATCTAGCCTATACACATATTTTGGCCTTGCACAGCATTTTAAATTTAAATTTAGTTTGTAAATCTGGATTTCCAGTATCTCTTGAAATAGCAAATGCCGGAAAAATACCGCATGATCTCACTCATTCATGGATAATAAAGACCATTATAAACTTATGAACAAAAATAGATACAGAGGCAAAGCTGCCTCAAACAGACTGTCAAACTGCAATGGGAAGGCCGGGAGGGGAGAGCGGAAGAAGAGGGTGGGGTAAGAGATCAACCGAAGGACTTGTATGCATGCATATAAGCATAACCAATGGACATAGGACACTGGGGGGTAGGGGAGGCCAGGGGATTGTCAAGGGCAGGGGGAAAAAGGAAACATATGTAATACCCTTTGTAATACTTTAAGCAATAAAACAAAAAAAAAAATTAAAATTAAAAAACAAAGAAAACAAGTTTAATCTCAATTTAAATAAAAATGGAACTATCTAAAAAAAAAAAAAAAGAAAGAAAGAAATAGCAAATGCCAAGCACCACGAGCCCACAGAATAAGAGCTCGTGCTGAACTGCCACCTCATGCCGTTACGTTGCCAGCCTGGTCCTTATAGACGTTGAGCTCTCGTTGTCCCTGCACTTACTTCTCTCGTGTAAAAATAAAGAGCAAACTTCCATCTCCAGGTTCTTTCAGAAGGTTTGATTTGATGCTATTTCTCTAGAAGAATTTCCTGAAGCCGCTTTGTATGTTACCTAGAGAAGAAAACTAAATTTTATTACAAACTTAGTGGGCATTGGACACTTCAGAGATGATCATTCACTTAGTATTCCCAGCACTTATTTGAATAGATGATGATATTCCCTAGGAAACTGAGGTTCAGAGAAATTAAGAAACTTCCCTGATCAAAAAAATAAAGTCAGTGGTGGAGCTAGGACGCACATTTAAGACAGGTTGCTCTCTACAGGATTGTACAATAACATATTCTGAGTTTGCTTCCAGATTCTTACATCACTTTCCTATTTAGCTTGCCACATGTGTCCAGGAATCCTTACTTCTCATTTCTCATAGCCCAGTGTGTGTGTGTGTGTGTGTGTGTGTGTGTGTGTGTGTGTGTGTGTGTGTGTTGTTGGGGTGGGGAGGTGTGGGAAGCAGATATAAGCACACTTTATTTTATAAGTAACAAATACTGGCCAGGAGCATACTCTGAACCTAGCACAGCATTAGATACCATGAGGTAATAAAATACGTTTCGTACCCTTAAAGGTTTTCCTTTAAGAACCAGCTGGGAAATAAGTGGTACATACATGGGAAGTAAAATGATTGTATGAGTTAGTAGCTGATTGTGCCAGAGAACTCATGTACCAGTAACTATAGTGTGCACTGAGGACCCTAGAAGAAAGGTGATTGGACAGGATCTTTGAAGGACAGTGGTCCAGGAGAGCATGCTGCAGCAGAAGGTGGGCAGCAGTAATGAATGATCTCTACGTCTAGTATGAAGTATGTTTCTCTCACTATAGGAAGTGCAGTATCTACTTGTAACAAGACAGCCCAGGTGGAGCAAAGAAAGGAGTTATGGATGCATTACTCTAATAAAAGGAATAGTCTCCGAAGCAACTGCATCAAGGAAAAGTCAGTTCATGCTGTTCAGATTCCTGCAAGGAATGCAGGGAAGATGCGGAGAGAGCAGCAACAGTGGGGCTTAGAAGATGAAAAGATAGCAGGTGTGCATTGGAGCTATGAGGAAACGAAGACATTTCTCGCAATTCTCAAAGAATCTCGCTTTTATGAAACACTTCAGGCTTGTCCCAGAAACAGCCAGGTGTATGGCGCTGTAGCTGAATGGCTGCGAGAGTGTGGCTTTCTCCGAACTCCGGAACAGTGTAGGACCAAGTTTAAAAGTCTCCAGAAGAGCTACCGAAAAGTGAGAAACGGCCACGTGCTCGAGCCCTGTGCCTTCTTTGAGGACATGGATGCATTGTTGAACCCTGCAGCTCATGTGTCACCCACTGACAAGTCAAAAGAGATTGTGTCTCTCCCTCGACTAAAGAGAATTGGTGTCGGTGCTAAAGGACAGATCAGTCTGATGGAGGAGGAGGAAGCTGCAGAAGAATCTGATAGTGAGGAAATGGGCATCGAGTTTATCCGGAAGTCTGAGATGCATGGTACCCCTGTCTTGTTTCAGAACCTGAGTGGTAAGTATTTTGCTTTTGTTTGGTTTGAAAATGGATGACTGTGGTCTTGTGGGGAAAAGAATAGTCCAGAAGTGACCAGGCCTGAGGAGTGCTGTCATGCACACTTTGCCTCGATCACTGTGACTGGCCGCATAACTAATAGTGTTCTCAGGTGTCTGTTGCTGCCCCCAGTGCAGTTTTAGTATAGCACTGAGTGGCCATGGAGGGTTCTTTTTGAGGTTGGAGCACAGCATGGATTTTGAGTACTTGGGACCTATGGAAGGAAGAGAAGTGGGAGTCAGAGAGCTCTAAGGATCTAACATTATCTGAGACTTGGTATAAAGCAGTCAAGTGTGTGAGATTGTAGTGATACTATCTAGAATAACCAGTGAAAGAGTGTGTAACTAAAAAAATGAGTAAAAAATGAAATTCTAAAAGAAGGTAAGAAAGGAGAGAAAGAGGTAGATGTAAACCCAAATATATCTTCAATTGCAAACTTAAAAAAAAAACAACTATATGTTGCTTACAAGAGATACATTTTAAATATAGCACAGAGACATTGAAATTAAAAGGACAGAAGAAGCTATACCATGCACCATACAAAATAAAACTGGTGTAGTTTGGGTGCTGGGACATGCAGGACTTAACTGCCAGTTAATAACTGTGACAGTAGACACATCATGTGAGTACTTTGAGCTTCAGTTTTCTCATCTGTCAAGTATGACTGAGAATGCCAGCGTTGTTAGTTAAGTGAGATGACATGCATGGAGGCATTCTGCAAATGTTAACATGCAATAAAACATTGCCTGGTATACTGTTACTAGTAATGTTTCTCTACCTTATGAAAAGGTAAGTTCTCAGAACAGAAAAATAAATCAGGCAGGAGAGCTGGGACTGTATGCAGGACTGTACCTGTTCAAAAGAAATAGCTCTCAGGAAAAAGATTGGAAGATACGTTAAGCATGCACAGGTATTCACCAGTCTGGAAATCCACTGACATAGAGTGGTCTCAAATACAGGAATCCAGTGAGGGACTGGAAGAGACCACCCAGTAAGGTAAGGATAGAAATGACTTTTTCCTGCTTACAAAACACAAAAAGTAGAGTGTACAAACTGTATTCCGACATGTCCTAGAAACTTTTGTTCTGCTATAAAAGCCGGACATCTGCTTGTCTTACAGAACATTTCATCTCTCAAAATGGAGAACTCGGTGACCTCAAAAACTACTCTAATGAACATAGTTCTGCTCTTCAAAGAAGACTGGTTAAAAAAGTGATAGGAACTTTGGGGGAAAGTTCCTACCGAGTGTCCCAGACCATTATTCTTAACTTGAAAAGACAGCTAAATCCTTAATCACCAGAGGAGTGTTAGGTTGGGGGACTGCATTTTCACTCTACCAAGTAAACTAAGATTAGTTTATCAATTTCAGTTAAAAATCCTATTGGAATTTTTACTTTATAGATTCATCTGAGAATTGATATCAATACAACTTGATTCTTCCTATCTCTTCATTTTTTCTAGTTCTTTTATGTCTTAAAACATTATAGATTTTTTTATATAGATCTCATTTTTGGCAAAACTTATACCAGGCATATCATAGTTCCTGTTGCTACTGTGAATGGGATTTGTTTTCTTTTACTTCTTATATTTTGTAATTTTATATAGAAGCTACAAACGCCTTTTCTTATATCTTTGAACTTTATCCTTGAATGGCAGGTGTACACTGGGGCTATGAGGAGACCAAGACTTTTCTTGATATCCTCCGTGAGACTCGGTTTTATGAAGCACTTCAGTCCTGCCATAGGAAGAGCAAATTGTATGGGGTCGTGGCGGAACAACTGCGGGAGTGTGGTTTCCTCCGGACACCAGAACAGTGCAGGACCAAGTTCAAAAGCCTTCAGAAGAGCTACCGCAAAGTGAAAAATGGTCACGTGCTAGAATCCTGTGCTTTCTACAAGGAAATGGATGCCCTGATAAACTCTCGGGCATCTGTCCCCTCCACCAGCACCCCAGAAGAAGTCCCACCACCTTCAAGGCAAGAAAGAGAGGATATTGAGATTGAACCCCAGGAACCTACAGGCTGGGAACTTGAGGAGACCTCACAAGAGGAAATAGTAGAAGATTCTGGCAGTGAGAGAATGAGTGAGGAAGAAATTGAACAAGAGTCAGAATTCCAGGGACCTCCAGGTCTACTGCAAAACCCAAATGGTAAGGATCATCGAGGGGTTGTAGTCTAAAAGAGAGTGTGATTTACTGAAAAATTAGTAGATCTGGTATGTCATTTGGGAGTATTTATTCATTAAATATTTGAGTGTCCTGTGCAGTTTGAGGGACAGGGGATATAGCAAAGTAAAACAAAGTTTGTATGTTCATGGTGCTTCTATTCAAGGAAGGAGCTTACATTCTAGTGATTCAGTTTTGGGGATTTCAGCCTCAGTTTTTTCTGTATGGATCAAGCAGTGTTTTATATCTCCTAAAAATTTTGTGGGGGAGGAAATTTGGAATTGTATATGAGAAAAACTCAGCTGAAGGAGGGTGTCAGTAAGCCCAAAACAGAAACATCTCGGTGATGTGTGATACGCATGAGAAAAAGGACAGGCAGAGACCAAATGAGAGAGAGAGGCTTTATACTGGTTCTCAGCTCCACCTGGGTATTTCCCACTAACTATTGGAAACTCTTGTGAGCATCTCATCAGACTTAAACTTTCAAAATTAAAATCACCATCCTTCCTACCCCATGGCTCTTCCCTGTGTCCTCCTATAGGTCCTCCACACTTAAAACTTCAGAGATATTTTTTATGCCTTCTCTCCCATTATTTACATCCAGGCAGTAACACTTTTTTTTTAACTGTTGTAGAACTTCTATCTGTCCCCTCTTTAGTTCCTGTAGCCCATACCCTGGTTCAGTCTTTGTGTCTGTTGGTTAGACTGCTGTAAATGTCTCCAGACCAGTTTTCTCTATTGTCCTTGTATAGGCTATGACTTCCTCCAGATTCCAAAGCAGCATTCGACCCACTCAGAATGCTTCAAAAGAACTGCTAATTGAACAGTGGCATTGCCAGGGTTTTTTACTTGAATTAATGGAATGATTGATGGCTGCCTCCTCCCCACAGCTCATGCCACAGCTGTCCCGCTTGGGACAGAGGGATTCCAGCAGTTTCAACTCAATATATGGAAGTAAAGTAATGTTGAAACTGGCAAGTAGAAACAAGGCAGTATAGCAAAATGCTTATGAACAAAGGTTTGATAATCAACCAAGCCTGAATTGTGCCTAAGTTACACAGCTTGTGAAATATTTATGAATGAAATAATACAGTGTCTGAAGTTTGTTTCAAAATAATCTGGGTAGAGGGGACAGGGAGCATGTAGGAATAGAGATGAAACAAAATTGGCAATGAGAGATCATTGTTAAAGCTGGTGAGTGGTTCATGGAAGCTGATTGTATATACAGTTCTCTACCTTTCTGTATGTTTGAATTTTTCATAGTAAAAAGTTAAGTAAAACCACATAATTAAGTGACCAGGACAGAATCAGAACCAGAGCTGTCTGATTCCAAAGCCTGTGTCTCTTCACCATTTTATGCTCTCTATCGAGAGAACTTCTAGAAAAAGCTGTGATCCAAGATGTACCTTGTAGTGAACATAGGCAATAGCTGAAAGAGTAAGGAAAAGATCATTCTATTTTGGGGAACAGTGAAAAACTAAGGTTGAATTAGTGTGGTCTGTGTGAGACAGCCAGAAAAACAGTGACAGGCACATTCAAGGAGAAAAAAGAAGTACTCTTGGGTAGGATATGATTAAATACTGATAAACTTAAAAGTCCATTGAGAAATTTGGACTTGATCACTAGAATCTACTCTATACACTAGTGTAATATACTGTATTTTAGGATAGAAGTGATACTTTGAAAGCAGGATGAATTAAAGAGGAACTTCAAGGAGATAAGACAAGTTGCTCCCATGTTAATTAAGACATAGATGAGGAGCAATTCAATTCAGAAGACATTTCTGAAGGCCTACTTTGAACTAGGTATTATGGGATGTTCTTGGAACTGAATGAAAATAAGGCATAATGAATCAGGGAAGAGTAAAAGGACCTGATGCCAGTGAAGTGTACATGGAATCCTAACAGATGAAGCCTTGAAGGCCATGTTTATGTTAATATAGGACTGCTCTGAAATTTTTATTGTCTTTTTTTCAGATTTTGAAATTGGTAATATCAAGGAGGATGCAACACAGGTAATATATAAGGACATGGAGCAGCACAAAACGCTGATAGACAAGTCTAAAGGAATTATCCCCCAGAATACTGATCCAGGTAAATATTGTAAAAAAGAATGTATCTCAGGAACACAATGGGAAAACCATCAAGGAATCAGACAGGGAAAGCCGATGTCTCAGCCTAGAGATTTAGGGAAAGCTGTAGTGCATCAGAGGCCTTTCATGGGGAAGAGACCCTACAGACTTCTAAAGTATGGAGAAAACTTTGGAAGGAGTGCTCGTCTTCTGTGCCGGATGACCCACCAGAAGGAAAACTCTTATAAGTGTAGTGTCTGTGGGAAGTGCTTTGGTAGAAGCAGGAGCCTCATTAGACACCAAAGAATCCACACAGGAGAAAAACCTTTTAAATGTCTTGACTGTGGGAAAAGCTTTAATGACTCCTCAAACTTTGGTGCCCATCAGAGAATCCACACAGGAGAGAAGCCCTACAGCTGTGGAGAGTGTGGGAAGTGCTTTAGTCAGAGCTCAAGTCTCATCATACATCAGAGAACTCACACAGGCGAGAAACCCTATCAGTGTGAAGAGTGTGGGAAAAGCTTCACCAACAGTTCTCATTTCAGTGCCCACCGCAGGGTCCACACTGGAGAGAATCCCTACAAATGCATGGATTGTGAAAAGAGTTTCAATAACTGTACACGATTTCGAGAACATCAGAGAATGCACACTGGAGAAAAGCCCTATGGGTGTGCCCACTGTGGCAAACATTTCAGTAAGGGCTCTATTCTGACCAAACATCGGGAGGTCCATGTGAGAGAAAAGCTCCTGCCACATCCTCCATCCATGTATTCCCCAGAGAATCCACATAAGGGGAGAACTGATGACTTCAGGAAGACTTTTTGATACGATATCTTCTGTTCCTCCATGTCCCTTTAGCCATCCTACCCTGATCTCACTCTTGGGATCTTTGATTAGCTATAAAGTAATTCCCAAGATAAGCTTGAGAATTAAATCAAATAAAGACTTGGATCCTGTTCTCACCTCTGCCTCTAACTTGATCAGCTTCTCCTTTAATAAAGGGGAGAACATAAATTGTCTAAGTTCAGAATGGAATTATCTTCAATATGCTGAGGCTACTGCTATGGGATTGCTATGTCCAGCAACATTCAAGATCCTTCCATGTAGGTGAGAGTTGTTTTCAAGGAGATGAAAGACGCTGAAAGGTTTTTTTGTTATCTACCATATGAGATTCTGGATGCAACTTGACCACAGAGTTTCGTGCTTGAGTAGAAGTTTCAGGAGTCCTACATCAAGTCCATTTTGGTTTTGAAGATAGCCACAAAGGAGACTAAAGGTTTTATAACTTCCATCAGAAGTCTTTTTGTGTACCGTTTTTGTGTCAAGAAGTTGATCTGAATAGCGAGGGTAGAATCTCTGTGATGTCCCTGAAGTCATGTTAGTAATGCCTTGCCCTCCGTAGAGACGAGAAGCAAATGATCACCCATAATCCTCTGTATACCAACCTTTTCTGTCCCTGAGACTGAATCCCCTTGGCTGCTGCTTTCCAGCCTATTGTTTCCCACATGTCCCACACTTACCTCTTCATGTTCCAGGTGCTCTTATCCGCTCTTCTGAGCCAGCACACTCTCCTCACATTGACTAGGCTGCATGTTCATGGATGTGTCTCATTAAAGTAAAGGATTTCAGATACATTCTAGTTCTTCCCTGTAACTTCTCTCGTTCTTATCTAAAACATGATGTGTGTTGGCATATTTATGCCTCCCAACCCCACACTTTAGTATAATATTATACAATCATAGTTTTCTAAAACTTTAAGGGGGTAGAAAGAAGTAGAGACCTGAAACATTAAATATTTCTAAAACCAGTAGGACTCCTTAGGCCTGCTTTAGATCAGATAGCCACCTCTGCCCAGACCAGCACTTCCAGGGCTGTTTGTTAAATATTCTTTTTTCTGAGGCTTCTAGACCTTATTTATAGCATCATGACCCTCACTGGAGAGCCCTGAGTATTTTATACAATTCTATAGCTCAGTAAGTGAAAGCAGAAATATTTGCAGAAACTTCCAATCCAGAACACATTAGTGTTTTCTTCATTTACCTGTTTATCTGAAAAACCTTTCTGATAACCCCCTAGCACTAGCCCAATACATAGTGAAGGAAGGGTTCAGATGGATAAATAGTTCATTCCTTTCTGGAAGTTAGATGAAATTTGGTCATCCAAGGCTGGTTGCTTTGGGAGGGAGAAGTCATAGTTTGGTAGTAAGATAACCAGAGTCAGGGTTGTGGGCGCACGCTTCTTCTGATCTTATCTCCTTTCCTTTGCCATGTGCTCTCTTATTTGAACACATCTGGAGATAATATTTTTCCTTTGACTACATTTGAATCCGTTGAAACTTGCTCAGCAGAGTACCAAGAGGGGTAGGCAGTTAGGGTGCCAGCATAGGGTGTGGCCTGCTGGAAGGCAGGTGACTCAGGTAAACGGTGATAAATGACCTCCTTTACACTTGGAAATGTTATGCGTGTTCACATCTGAACAGATTAACTTCCTCTGTGTTGTCAGGTTTTCTTTTTCTCTCTTTTATTAATCATTTTTATTTCTCAGTTACCGTTGACATACATTATTGTATGGTCTCAGGTGTGTGTTGTCTAAATCATAGACTTAATGGTAAGTGCAGCTTCATGTTGGTAGTGTGCTGAGCGAGCACAGTAAGATGTGTTAGTGTCAGTGGCGTGTGCTTACACTGTGTAGACCTTCTGGAATTCCAACTCTAGAGAAGGTGCACATTAATAGAAGTCACCACTTAGTAATACGTACATAGGATTGATAATTATATCGGCTGACGAATGATTCAGGAAAGGTGATTTGTTCAGAAATATTTATTAAGCACCATTGTGTGTTAAGGCCATGTTTTAGGCACAGTGAGGGATGCAAAAATGAAAAAGGGAGCACAGTGCCTGTACTCAAGGACTTTGAAATATGGCAGAGGAAGTATTGCAGCAAAAGGTAAAGCCAATTACATGCAAGTTATAAAGGTCAGTGACTCAATCGTGAGAAAACCACCTTCACTTGCAAAAGTGTTTTTCTAACGCCTAAAATCGTGTTCTTTCCCTCTGTCTCTCAGACTTCCCTAGTGGCAGAAAGGTTCCCACCCAGTCTCTCCTGTAGAGACTGATTCTGTTGTCATCTCAGATGTCTGGGATCAAGCTCAGGTGGAGTTTGGGTTCCCCTGCAGATACTCCTGATTGCAAATGGGCTGCTGAGACATGTATTAAAGTTAACTTAGTGAAGTTTGTCTCTGTTCTGAGGAGACAGAAGGTCCTGCCCACCATTCAACAAGACTCCTTGCATTGTATCCTTTTGCAGCAGGAGTGTGAAAGTCAAAGTGAGTGGTGTCTTCTCTACCACATAGCACTGCCTTTATGACCACTGCAGAGAAAGCTTGCTTTAGAACTCAGTACCAGCACTGCAGCTCTAATCCTGAGGGGGGGAAAAAAGTTATTTTTAAAAACACTGTGATTTTTATAACTTACTGTTTTTCTCCTTTTGTTCTCGCTGCTAGAAAGCCCAACAAAATTTACAACCTACCTTAACCATCTACCTAAAACCTATATTTATTTAATCCTGTCTTCTTTCTTTGAAAATTGTTTCAAATCCTATGCTTTTTTAAATGGTATAAATCAGGAGTCCTCAAACTTTTTAAACAGGGGGCCAGTTCACTGTCCCTCAGACCGTTGGAGGGCCGGACTATAGTTTAAAAAAAACTATGAGCAAATTCCTATGCACACTGCACATATCTTATTTTGAAGTAAAAAAACAAAAAGGGAACAAATACAATATTTGTATTTGCATGTGGCCCGCGGGCCGTAGTTTGAGGACCCCTGGTATAAATAAACAGGCTTTTTCTTTTCTGACACCTTTCCCAAGGCACTTTGGAAACTGGCTTATATTCTCTGGCTAGGCTTGCTTTGTTACTCTCACAAATACCTCCAGTTCTTACTATTGATTTTATTACACAAACAGCCTAATTTGTTCATCTGGAAGGGAACTTTACTTCTTTAAAGAGGAAAACTTAACACATATATTTACCCAGCCCAGGCTGCCTGCCATGGTGGCGTGAGCATTGGACCAGAAGCCAAAAGAGACAAGTTTTAGTCCTGTTGCTGCCACTTACTGAGTCCTTCTACAGATCAGAGCCTCTCTCTGGCCGAAGCTGCTTATCTGAAGAGAGGTTGGACTTGATTGCCCAGACTGCTCTGACTCTAAGGTTCTGTGAGGCTGTGGAGCACGGTGTGGATGAGGAAGAGTCTGTAAGAACAGGCTGCCCTGCCAGTGAGCCCACTGCCCACTTCAGGCAGAAGGATGCTGTGCGCAGCCCAGGAGCTTGCTCAGGAGAGAAGGAAAGATGGCGTGTGTTCTCCTACAGACACCCCGAGTCACCTTGTTAGCCAATTGCAGGTAGCTGGCTGAGTAAGGAAAGCCTATCTTGTGAGGTCTGGTGCCAGTGACAGACAAGACTCAACTGGGGAAGCCGCAAGGCCAGTAGTGTCTGAGTGACTGGTGTAGCTACAAGCCTTTGCCCTGTCTGAATTTATTCCAAATATAAGTGTCTGTTCTTTGTTTTGTATTGATGTTCACTTAGATGTCTTCTTGAAAACTTATATGTGAAATAAATGTCTGCAATAAATGACTCTCATTGGGTTTTGCCATAATTTGATGAATGCCTTCTATTAAGAAGAGACCTTGTCTAAGGTAACAAAAGCTGATGCTAGTAGCTAAAGAGAATTTCAGTCTTGTACCAGTTCACTCTTCTCTCCCACAACTAGTGAGATCTTTTGTGAGTCCACAGCTATTCTTGTGCAGCTGGCCTGTGATAGTAGCCATTGCCATTGTCCCAAATAATGGTTGGCTCTAATTCCAGAGTAGCATTAGCCTTGGGTTCACACCATGTGTGAATTTGGGGGAGGCATTTAGCCACAGCAGCCTTTTACGGTGGAACAAGACTCCACAATTTCCCCAAAGATACACAGTATTGTATTTGATTTACTGTTTTGGTATAAAGGGTTCCAGTGGTTTCCACTTTCTAAGTTTCAACTCCATGGGTCATAGAGTCAGTGTAGAGATTTTGCTACTTGCTGAGCATGTATTTCCCACTATTCTCATGAACTAGGAAGAACCACAGGATGGGTCGCCTAAACATGAGCTAGACTCCAGACAAAGTGCCCCTCTCACCTGGGCGTTGTAGGCCTCTACTCTGCAGCCGACTACAGTGATGCCCAAGGTCCTCAAGAATTATAGCTGCTCAGACAGCATCTAGGAGACCCTGTAAGTTTCCCATGTTTTCCTTGAGTAGACAGCCACAACCTTTTTGGAGTAAGCTAAGATAAAGGCTCATAAATGGTGACCTGAGTTCTCCCACAAGATTACTGACCTCACATTCCATTAGATAGTTAGGTCTGTGCTCTGACTCAGGCTGGGAATTAAATGAGAGACTTTAAATCTCTAAGAGCCATAAATCTTCAATTCCTATAATCAGTTAAAACAATTAGACCTTAAGGGAGGAGAACAAAAGCTTTGTTTTCAAGCACTAATAGGAACATGGCTAGTCACAACTTCCAAACTCCGTATTGGGCCTGGGGACTCGAAGGGGAAGCATGGCTTTGGTTCCAAGAGAGGCAAATGCCTAAACTCATCCTGAGGTGGTGGACTCTGAAGGAGAATGGCAGGGTGGGAACAGGGAATGGGCTCAGGACCTGAAAGGCCTCAGCCTTGAGGTTGCTTGGATGCAACACAGAGCCTGTGGAATATGCAGGTGTGCTTGGCATGGAAGCTGTGGAATCGTCAGTAAAGGGTCCCTCTTTCCTGGTCAAGCGTGACTTAGCGTTAGCACGCACATCTGAGGACCACTCCCAATGGGGGCAGCAGATCAGGCACAAAGAAAAAGGTTCCATGAGTAGACTGGTATACTTCCCTTTCCGGATTGCTTAAGCTCCCAGAGTTTCAGAAGATCTGGTGAGGGAGAGGTGCAAGAGTCTTACACTAGGCTTCCCAACAGCATGGCATGTGAGGGCTCAAGCTAATTCTGGCAAAAGGAAGGAAACAGGACTTCTACTCCAAGGTTCTAGACTAGGACATGCCTATTGCAGTAGGAAGAACACTAGACTGTGTCTAAAATCCTGGTCGAGCTCTGTCACTAGGTCACTGTGGTTAGAGTCAAAGTATCCAGCCTCTCTTGGTTTTGGTTGGACAATATGAGTGCTTCCCAGCCTTTCCCCATCAAGAGACCCGAAGAGCATGATGAGGGTAGTTGACTGAGCAAATGCATTTGTACCAAGTCCACTTAGAAACTCCACCCTCTTGCTATGATTCTGATACCTGCAAGTTGCAAAACCTTTGATTAGATGGTGATCTATATATATATAAAAGCCTAAGCGACCATGCGACCATCCAACCGGTAGCTATGACGCATAATGACCACCAGGGGAAGACGCTTTAACCAGTAGCAATGACACGCACTGACCACCAGGGGACAGATGCTCAACGCAGGTGCTGCCAAGCTGCAGTGACTTGGCAGCTGTGGTTCTCAGGTGATGCACCTGGAACCAGAGAAGAGGGAGCCTGATTCTGGGGTGTGTCACCAGAGAACGGCCCTCTTGCAATCTGGGACCTCTCAGGGGATGTTGGAGAGCCAATTTCAGCCCAATCCCCACAGGCCAAGCCGAGGGATCCCACCAGTGCACAAATCTGTGCACCAGGCCTCTAGTAATAAAAGAGCTGACACATTGTCCACTCACAATGTACTAGGCATTGTGCTCACACTTCACAAAAGCATCATATTTAGTTCTCACAAGCATTCTGGGGCAACATTTCCATTTTACAGACAAGGAAACAGGCTGAGGAAAATTAAATAGCTTCTTCAAGCTTATACAGCAAAAAAGTGGATGTTCTAAGCTTTAAATTCATATCTTTCTCAGAACCCAAACTCATAGCATCTACGTTTTACTGCTACCGTTGTCTAGCTCTAGCATTTTAAAATTATGTGACCTTGAGTGTGCTCTCCCTCCCCTTAGCAGGGCTGTGCTTTCCCTTTCTCTTCCCCTCCCCCTTCCCTCCTCCCAGCCCTAGGCATCTTACCATTAGCTTCCTCATTCCCAAGCTCCAAGGGCCCTTCCTTTGCTTGCTAAGCCCATTTCTTCTAGGAATTCCTTTTTCTACCTCTGTAATTCACCCAATAAATGGTCTCTTACAAAAAAATAAATAAAATAAAATTCTGTGACCTTGTTCTTGAGGTGGCGTGGAGATGAACTTAGGAGATATGGGTGAATTTTGGGTTGTGGTCAGAATGAATTTGGGAGTTCCTGTGCATTCTTTCAGTCAATGAGTACTTAGCCCCTTCTACACAGCAAGCCCTAAGCCAAATGCGGAGTCACAAAGATGAACTGGCATCGATCTTCCACTTGAGAGCTCGTGGTCCTAGAACTCAATATGAAGACCAGGACTTCAAATCCAATTGCAAGTGAGGAGTGAGAGGAGTTATGATGCATGTCTTTCTGTCCCTCTCTTGATGGGGCCAATCAGGCAAGTAGAAGACAAGGCAGGAACCATATTGTCCCTTTTTCAGAAACAGTCAAGTGTGATGACAAAGATCCTGGACCCAAAGGCCAAACACACCTGGTCTTAAACTTTGGCTCCATCAACTTGTGCAGCTTTGGATAATGTCATCCCTTGGAATCTCCATTCTCCTCTGGAGAAGAGTAAGAGAAACTACCTGTATTCGTTTCCTGGGGCTGCCATAACCAATTCCCACACACTTGTTTAAAAAAACAAACAAACCAAAAAAAACACAAATGTTTTCTCTCACAGTCTGGAGGCCAGAAGTCTAAAATCAAGGTGTCATCAGGCCTGGCTCCCTCCAAAAGCTCAGGGAGAGTCCTTCCTTGCCTCTTGTAGCTCTTGGTGACTCCTGGTAAAACCATGAGGCCTCCACCCTTCTCCCGCATGCCTCCTTCCCTGTGTCTCTGTGTCCTTTTCTTATAAAGACACGCACTGGACTTAGGGCTCACCTAATCCAGCATGATCTCACCTTCATTGACCCTTAAGTATGGCCACAAGGATCTTATTTCCAAACAAGGTCACATTCTTAGGTTCCAAGTGTTCATGAATTTGGGGGACACTATTCAACCCAGTACCCTACCTTATAGGACTGCCAAGGGAGTAAATAAGGTCATGCACGGAAAGCATTCTGCACAGTCTGGGCACATAAACACAATCAATGTTAGCTGTACACATGCGTGCATGTTGTATGTGTGTTTATATATGTATATGTATGCATATGTAACTACTTTGTTACTTACTAGATTTACCAAAGGTTTATTTTATTATTCATTTCACCAAAAGAAATGGTAACTTTCAATATTGTTTGCTCTTTGCGAGTGTTCTAATTTGCTTGTTTCTGCTTCTATCATATTATTTTCTTTCTCTTTTTCTTTAGGTTTGTGGTTGTTATTCATATTTGTCTTTCTCTTTTTCTTCAAAAATGTTCTGGATGTTTGGGGATATAGAGTCCATTTTTTCAACAGGCAGTCTCTTATTATATTGGTGCTTTCACTCCAGTGAACATTTTCTTTTTACTCAGGTGAGTATTTTGATCATCTTTTAGAACTGGTGAGCTTTTGTTTGTTGTTAAGAATTATTGTTCCCTGGAACATTTTTATGTT